TTTCCTGGGGATGGCTGCACACCTGCCTGCCCATGGGATGGGGTGGATTGATTGCTTTTTTTGCTTTGCTTGTGTGCACAGTTTTTGCTTTACCCGTTAAAGTGTCTTTATCTCAACCCACGAGTTTTCTCCCTTTTACTCTTCTGATTCTCTCCCCCATCCCACCGAGAAGGAATGAATAAGCAGCTATGTGGTGCTTAGTTGCTGGCTGGGGTTAAACCATGACAAGGAGAAAGACTGCAAAACTATCGAACATAGCATAGGACTTTAAATTTCAATTAAAGGGAAGACTTTTGAGAATCAGATTCAGTACTTTTCAAATGGTTAAACAGTGGCTAAGCCTGTTAGCTAGCCCTTGTCTGCTTCTGACTTCCAGACTAAAGAGACTAAATATACAGCTTTACTGTAGAAGTAACAACTTTTCTATTTTAAATCTCAGAAGTGTTTCAAGCATGTCCTGTTCTTTTTGATTGCTGGTAACTTCAGTTGCCACTTGCAAGTCTATTCTTTGTCAATAACAAACTAAATTGGGCCTTCTAGCACCTGCTCCTAGTTTACAAAGTAATGTAAGAATACTTACCAGGACATATGCAGTTGCATCTGATGCCTTGTTCAATGAAATCAGCAGCCACAGACTTTGTTAGACCAATAACTGCTGCCTTTGAAGTACTGTAGACACATCTGTTCACAACTCCTAACAGAAGGTCAGTGTGAAGGCAGTGTAGAAACATATTTAAAAAAACAAGAGAGACCCAAGTTTGTTCAATATGCACCTGCTGCTGGACTCCAGCACCTGTAGTCTCTCATAAGGGTGGGCTAACTAGAATGCTGACTGCCAGAATTCTACTCAAGCATACGCCAGAACAAAGCACACGATCTTTCATTAGTGTAAGTTTGGGGGGTTAGTCCAGAAAAGTTAACAAAGCAAACAAAGGTCTAAGAACAGCAGAGACCCATCTGTTGTTCACCGTCAGGTTTCCTTGGGAAGCATAGCTGTAGCACTTAGGTAACTGTCATTTCTTCATTGTTTCTCTGAAGAACGTATGTAGAAAGATATCACTGGAAGTAATTCCTTTTTAGTTAATGCAAACTGGTAAAAAGAATGCTACAAAACATTCAGGACACAGATTCAAAAGCTCAAAAGCAAGGATCTTAATGTTTCTGCAATTTCCCATCTGTCTCCTTGTGTGTGTACGTATCAGTCAGTGTGTTCACTTTTTTTAATTGCATCTCTCCACAGGATTGGCAGTGTCCTCTAAATTCAAAGTTGTGCAATACTTATTTTACATTCCCATCATTTTAAAGATTTATTATATAAGGAACTCTCTAGCAAGCTACTGACCTTTAATGCTGGATGCCACAGAAGACATATTTATAATATTGCCAGATTTCTGTTTAAGCATCTGCAAAAGAATACTTATGTCATTCAAATGCAAACTATTTTGTCATCTACAGGTCCAGCAAAATAGCCCGTAACAACCCGCAGACCAGCCCTACCTGCAACTGATATGCACACTAACAAAGCTTAATTGGCATGAATAGGTGCTTATCTCCTTTTGATCTAATCGACTGAAGTAGTAAAGCAGAATCTGAAATTCTCACTAGTTTCTCCTAAGTCATCTCAGGGTGAAGACTATGACAGGAAAGGATGTTTTTCCTAGGTAGCCACCTCTGAATCATTGTCCTCTTGTCACCACAGTAAGTTACCCTACATAGACATCTGCTCATGCCATCTACCAATGCACTAATTCACTTCTCCATTGCTTTGGAGAAGACTAAAACACAACTCTCTAGCATCTTTGAATTGTAGCTAAATTTCTTTAAGTTATAACCTTTTTAGCCATCTCAAAACCTGAGATGCCTGAAGTTGTTATAAAGAGCCTTTAAAAATGAATATCAGCTAAGGAAAAAGGAAAAAAAAACAACACACCACAAAAACCAACCAAACAAAAAGGACTGGAACAACACTGAAAAGAGTAGTCATCATCCAGTCACGGGCACAGCTTCTACTTCTGGCCTTCACATTTACAGGAATACAAACACCTTATTCAGTCCACAAATTTTTGTAGTCCCAAACTTAGTTACTACATCAAACAAGTGTCCTCAAGCTGCTAGACTGTCTGTTTGGATTGTTGTTCTGATATAACCAGCATGCTGGCATCAGTGGCACGGAATTGCTTCACAAGATAGTTTCCAGATTTGCATAAAATTCATATTAATATACATATTTTATACATATTTGGTAGCAGTGGTATTGTGCAGCTGTGTGCTACAGTATAATGCGGTAGCACTGTATTGCAATGGCTCCCTCGCTACTCTGCATTTGAAGGGTTTTAGTTACAAATTACATAGGGCAAAAAGCCCGAATTCATCTTCTCTACCATATCCTTTAGATAGATTGTCTACTTGAAGGACTTACACAAGGCAGTGACTGCTTTAGAGTAGAATCGCTGTAATCTAAGGGCCTCCCCTATACAAAGCAGCATACTTACCTTTTCATCTCAACCTCCAGGCTGTCCCAGTGGCAACAACTTTGACCTCTCACAATTTAAACACCATGCAGCAGAGACCAAAAAGTATGGGCAACCAAGCCTTACCTTCGGAAGGAATGTCTTGATCATTAGATACATGCTACGAACATTGAGGTTCATAGTGAAGTTCCAGTGTTGCTCCTCACACTCCAGAATGGTTCCATGATGAACAAACCTAGAATATATGCATGAAGTGGATTACTGTCTGCGGTTTACATTTCTATAACTTTTTATGCCTATTTTTCCATTGCTATTTTGTAATAGCTACACCTTCCAACCTTGAAAAGGAGGGGCAAGAGCTCTTTTGAAAAAAGCAAGCAACAGTATGTTTCTCCTGATGAGTACCAGGGACACAAGACAGATCTGGTAAGTGCAAAGAAACATTTGGTAATAGGGAAATTAAAAAAGACAGCACACTGGCAGACCATCAACTTTGCTCACTGTTGTGCCAGGAGGGCCAAAGCCATCAGTACAGGGCACCCATAGAGCGGGGGAAACAAATTCCAGAGCCATTCTACCTTGGCCTGGGTAACACAGCTACGCACAGGAAGTTCGGTGTTGATGAGAACACATGAAAATTTATATTAAAGATATAAAATGCATTAAAACAAAAGAAATAAAACGCATTTAACTAAAAGAAACTACTTCTGGAGGACAGAGGAAACTGGAAAAAGAAGTAGGATCAAACAGAAGCTGGTTACCCTGCAATGTTACAGAGGACATCAATCCTTTCAATCTCCTTGGCCAGATTTTCTATCTGCTCCTTTTCGGTGACATCCAGAACCCGTATTTGAATGCCTGGAAGAACATGGTATTCATTTCAGTCTATTTGGCTAAGGATCAGCAGTTTATTTTTCTGAAGTGCCGAGGACTGCATCTACGATTCGAGCCAGTGGCTTGCCAGGAACAGTCCCCTCTCCGTGGCTCACCAGTACACGGAGACTCGCTGAGTGAGAGCTACACTTAATGATTAAATTAGTGAAATCAGGACAGCAATGGACAGCATGGCATGCTATTGAAAATTTCAGAAGGGAATTATAAAAAGATCAACTGATTTGATTGCCATACAGCATCACACAAGCAGATGAGCTAATGTCATTTACCATAAAACCATTTCAAATAAATTTGAATTCCACTGTGCTCCCAAACTGAAAAATTACAGAGCCTGTATAATCATAACAAGCTTTCATGCCCACTATTCTAGAATAATAATTAACTTGAAACTAGTTACATGTCACATATACTCACAACCACATTACATGCCATCTATCCATGTGTAGTTGAGGATATGATGAATCAGCTTTATACCATTTAATTAATGAGAAAAAGTGATTTTGCATAAGCCAATAACTTATATAACCTGGAATGAGGTCATAGCCATGATAATAGAAATGAAGAGGAAGTGTAACAAATTGATGGCTTCTATCACACAGGCTAGTTTAAAAATATGATGCTTATGGTTTTGCAATTATTTGTTTATAATCAAACAAAAGAGGGCTGGAAACATGTGGCTTTTCACTATAAGCTTCTGTGTATTTCAGCCTCTGACAGCTGTCACTGTCAGTGCTCATAGCACCAGCTGTGCCTGTACCATACCTTCAAGAAAGCCACTGATAAAAAAACAAACAAACAAAGCCAAAAAACCAAAAAACCCACAAACCACATTCTATTTTGTTCAGAGAAGTTATCTGTGAAAGATTGAGAAACATAATTGCTGCAAAACAGGGTCAGGCTCAACTCTTCCAACCACTTTTCAATAGAATCGGCCCCTGTAACAGAACTGCTTCAGGGCCAACCACAGCGGTGCCAGCCCCTGGCCAGAAGTGAAAAGAGCAAAGTAGAACTACTCTCCCAGGTGAGCTATAATACGATATGATATAATCCACGTGGTATTTTATCTCATTTTACTGAAGTAGCTGCCAGTAATCCAAGACAACTAGCTTCTCTCACCCACGTCAAGGCTAAATCCTTACTATGGAAGAGGCATGCTTCATGATACGCTTTGCCTGTGCTCTCGCTCCATACTGAGCCCCCTTCTTAAATACATGAACTTTTCATCCAGAGGAAACCTGGATGAGTGGAAAAGAAAGAGTCAGGGTGTGCTGCAGCAGTTCCCTTCGTGGGTACAGTTAGGGTCCCAGGACACTAAGACTTGCTGCTGATCACCCTTTTGCCACAGCTTGAGCAGGGCATATCCTGCATCTAGGACGAAGGGTCATCTAGTGCAGAGCACAGCTGTGCCGCAAAACATTGTATTTTTACAAGTTATTCACGCGCAACTAGTGACACACAGTCTAACAAATGTCTAAAACTACCTGTTGAGAGACTGTAGAGAACGAAGCCAGACTTCTCAGAGGCCCATTGCGGAAGGATGAAAGGCAACAGGAAGAAGTTGGAAAGTCTGACTGAATATAAGGTGTGTTTGGTTTTTGTGGGGTTTGGTGGGGGTGTTTGCTGTTTGTTTGGGTTTTTTTTTCTGTTTTTTAAATATCATTATTATTTTAAAACCATGAGGGCAGTCGCACTAGAATGGGGGCCTACAGAGGAAATTCCATCCTTGGAGATGTTCAGAACTTGACGCAGCACAGGCCTGAGCAGCCTGCTCTAACTAGAGTCACGTTCAGCAGTAGGCAGGACTAAATGACCTCCAGAGGTCTCATCCAGTGTACATGATTCTATGAAATACTGTAAAGCTGTCTGTAAAGCATCTGAGCGATATCTAAATTATGGGAGAATGTGATTTGAACTGACAAGTCCATGAACAGGTTTTACATGCCTTAGTTAAATGATATAGTCACTTTTGAAGAGATTTGTGCATAATGATGCAATTAAACTACAGGCTGGTGATTAACATCAGCACTGGAATTACCTCTCCTGGATAAAATTCAAAGACTACAATGTGCCTAGCCTTGATAAATTATAGCTTAACTAATCATGTGTCAAGAGGATAGAAATGGCTCTGAGTATGTGGAAAATTACCTCTTCCCTTGTGAACACACTAAGCAGAGGGAAAAAAATGCACAGTTCAAAATGTGACACTTTCCTAAACACCCTCAGAATGAACCTGGAAAGTCCTAAAGTTCCTAAAGAATTACAAAGGGATTGCTTGTGTTGAACTCCAGTCGGTGCAGACCGATGTTCACTCTAAAAGCTGTGCCAGAGAAAAGTGGTTTTGCATATTTGACTGTCACCCTGTAATAGGAATTCATTAAATCCACTTCCTTCCATCAGATTAAGTTGGGAGCATTTTCAGTTGTGAAATATACCGAAGTCTTATTTTTTATTTCAGGATAGAAAAAATAATTTTTTAATGTAATGTCCCACCCTTGTGTCACTTATGAATAAGTAACACAGCTATGCAGAATCTGCTCCTTGAACTGTGTTCCTGTGATATCAGTAGCAAAGCAACCTTCAGGCCTGAGCATTTGTACAAACAGAATAGGCTTATCTAGTGTTGGTGGGATGAGTTTCTGAATTCTACCAGACAGCTATCCTTTTAAGGCATTCCTTAGTAAGCATGGACCATGGAAACGCAAGACACTAGATCTACTTTTTGTGTAGCTGGATGTTAGTTATTCTGATCAGAGAAAAGCATTCCATGCCTTTTAGAGTGATGTTTGACAATCAGCCTAGCGGTCTCAAAAGGGAATTCAAATGGGTGCCATTCTGGGAAGCAGAAATTAACTGCTTCTGTGACACAAGGAACTCAAAGTTATGCCACGTGGCTGGAATAATACTCTGATATGCTGATGCTGCAGTATTTTACACGCTAAATCGCCGCCGTTCCGCACCACAGAATAAAGCGATGCCAACATCTAAAGAATTGCTCTGGATATTTTCCATTTTTTCTGGCCTTTTGAAGTTTGCCCTATCCTCAAATTATATTTCAGCCAGTCTACAACAAAACTTGCGAGAGCTGAACTAATGCCTACTGTAGGTCACTTACCTGGATATTTCTCCAGTTCTTGCAGCTTAGACTCATTGATGTCTGTAGCAATGACTTTGGCTCCTTCTTTAGCAAAAGCCTGAAGAATACAAGCGAGAGAAGCAGTTGATATTTAGATATTCCAGATCTCACCAGAAATAAAATCTGTTTTCTTCTCATTTCCTTTTTGGCTTGAAAGAAAAGTTGGTTGAAGGCAGCTGATCTCTCACTTTTCATTCTGGGTGTGTCAGGAAGAAACGGACATCAATTACAACACATCCTGGGGACAATTAAGTAACTATACATCATATAAGACAGATTTAAGATCTTTTCCTTAAAGTAAGGAAGGCATAAATAAAGTATGAGAACAGTAACCACACTAAGACAACTATCGTTATTTCCCTTATTAGCTGCACGTGCGCTAGCAAGCACGTTACAAACACGTAGGGCTAGAATTGTCTGTATTGTTGGATTTAAATGAAGTTATGGGATTTGACAGGTAAAGGCACAAGTCATAAAAAAGGAATGGTGGTATATAAACTTTATGAAAATCCTTTGCATCCAAGTCATTGGAATAGAGCAATATTACAGGAAGCACGACTTTCCTTTGATACTTAACGAGATATATTCCTTCATTCTTGATGCTCCCCTCAAAGCCTGCTTTCTCTGCATTGTGATTACTGCTAAATCAACAGCTATGCTAACAAAGCAACCTCCGTGTCAAAAGTATTCTGACATCTCAGACAATCTTCAAAATAAGCGTCGAGTGCAGCTTAAGATGATAGCGGCATTAAACGTGCCAGCCTTCTGTGGCTTGTGGGGTACTTACAAAGTGAAGTAATCAGGAAAATTACCTCCTCCTCCGACAGAGTGCTTTAATGTACGTGAGTGCCAAGATCAGCAGTTTTCTGCATTCTTAACTGCGTGCATGAGAAACTAACTAGTCTGGCAAAAATCCTACTTACAGGAGCTTTTCCTGGCTTGTTGATTACATTAGAGAGAGAGAGATAACTCTACTAGTTTCTCTATCTGCTATGGAGGAAGGAAACAGTAGGGGAAGAACAGGTCAAAAAGGAATTAAAAATTAACCAGAAAGTTAATACATACGTTGAGTTCTGCTTAACAGTAATTAAATACAATTTGTAAAGGATTTCTCACAGTTCCTCATTGTGAACAAGGCTGTAGCTGTGCTGTTAGTATCACATAGACTTGGTTACATCAACTATTAGTGTAGATAAAACATCTTGGCTTTACCATAGGGGATGTTTGCAGTATCCAGCCTTAGAACAGGAAGTATTCCCTCTATCCTCCTTATCTTCCCCCAGAACAAAGCAGCAGAGATATTGGATTAAAAGTATAGACAGTACAACCATATATTGTTAGAAAAGCAGTTGCAGCTGTTCTCAAATCTTGCCCTTATCTTTGCCCAACGTCACCCTTCGGAGCTGAAGACTTTCAGAAATTTAAACAGCACAAGGCATGCATGATACAGTATAATGACTATATTATTCCCTGAATTTTTCAATGTGTAGCTCTGGCTTCATCTATGATTTATTAATTCAAGAACTTGTTTGGTGCAGGTGTCATTGGACAAGGTAGCATTAGAGAACAAACATTTTCCAACTTACTACAGCAGCTGCTCGTCCAATCCCCTGCGCTGCCGCAGACAGCAGTATGATCTTCCCATCAAGCCGACCCATACTGCTGACCTGTGCAGACGGAAGATGTCACAGAATCTTTAACAAAAAGATGAGCCAACAACACTCCCTGGCTATCAGATGCAAACGCATTCCAAAAATTAGACATGATTCAGAGTACCTCTGCCATCAAACCACGTCACAGATTGTCCTGTTGGGCTGCAGTGTGACCCTGAGTCATCCCGGGTTCTGTGAGGGGGACTGCCTCAACCTTTTTTTTTTTTTTTTTTCTCTCTCATAAGGACCTTAAAAAGATCGAAAGGCATTTGAGCTCAAAAGCCAAGCTTTATTACAACAGAAACTGGACATGTTCCTTAAACAGGAAAAAAAAGTCAAGATGAAACAGAATTGTAGTACAGTAGTTTGTAATCTAGTGTTTCCACTGTCCATTGTGTTCTTAGAAAGCAGGTCTGTCTTCTATTCCTCTCTAACTACAAACTCATCAACTTCCCAGATTGCCGTAAATTCCACGCAATACCCTGGCTGCGGTGTCTGCTCTGAATTGTCTTAGGAATCTTCCAGCACAGCAGATTCCCAGCGCCAACAAGGCAGGAGGGGAGGGGGGGGATGAAGCTCTGTCCTGTCTTGCCTCTCGCATTGCTTGCTCTCGGGGAGCGCGCTTGGAGCGAGCGGTAGGGAACCTCTAAGAGGTTCCGCCTTACTCTGTGTGTGGCAGCCAAAAGGCAAAATGTAGCCCTCTTCTGCCCAAGCACGCGCTTTCGAATGCTGCGTTATGTTTAAAGAAATACAGCATGTAAAGTTGCAGACAAACAAATGCCATCCTCTCACTCCTATGGATTCAAAAGTTTCCAGTAGGATTTTTGGTTATTTAAGGAATAGACTACTTAATAGGATGTTTCAAAGAACTGCCTATAAAGTAAGGTCCCGTCAGAGTGCGATATCTGGTGTTTGTTAACTGGGTTCCCAATAAGCAAAAAACTTTCTGCACTTTTGTGATCCACAGAGCAAAATCTGTTTATTTAGCTATGAGTGTAGAAAGGTGTCCCAAGAACCTGCAGTCTTTAAATATATACATGAATCCAGCATGCTGAGTACTTCACTGAAAAGTTAAGAGGAAGATGCCATGATGTCCCCTAGGTTAGCAGCCAACGCTATCATCTAGAGGTGCTCAAATCCATGCTGTGACTCAGATTACCGAGTTTAGTGTCCTACATCTTAGACCAGATTATTAAATTTCTCTGATTTTGACCAGAAATTCTGTTTTCTCAGCAGCTTTTCCTGACAAAAGTTGCAGCAAAACTAATGTTTCCCTGAAGATTACGGATTCAACAAATCGGACTTCTTCTGAAGCAGTTTAACTGAAAAATTCTTTCCCTTCTAACACGAATAACTCAGTCTGGCTTTAAATCAAAAGAGATAATGTTACAGACCATATTTCAAGACATTGAAATGTTTCACTGTAGGTTTTCCCCCCATAACTGGGACGCACACGTGCACACACACACAAAGAAACAAGGCACAAACCAAAAGAACAGTCTCCTAAGCAAACAGTAACCGAGTAATTAGGGGAAAGCACAATATCCTAAAAATCAGTTTTTAGGTTGGCTAGTAAAAAGACATCTCTTCAGCTGTCTCTAATGGTAGGCTATGTAAGCTTATACGAGATTAGACCTGTTTTAGCATCACCTATCAATGCAAAAAGGTTAAAATACCACATTAACCAAGCAGAATGAAATTACACACACAGCTAGGTTGCATTGTCTCTGATGTACCAAGCTTTCCAAAATGCAACTCCTCAAACGCAACATCCTGGGAAAGGTTCTCTTAATTGTAGCAAGTCCCGAGTATCTCAACAACGAGCTCAAAGTGCTCGCTCGAGGCAGAGGAAGCTCTTTCTTACTCTCTGTTGTCACATACATCTTTTCAGTGGGGAAAAAACCTGATCGGTCCAAGTACTTCCCCAAATCACCTTAACACTTTGGAAGCAAAATGCACTCTAAGTACATTTTTCAATCCAACAATCAGCTTTTATGAACATTTGCCACACTGATTCTATGAAGCACTTAAGTATTAATATAGTCACTCACCAAGAGATCTCAAACAGCTTGGTATGTTTACTGACCTTTGTACAAAAGGAAGTTGTTTTACCTTTTTTTTTTTTGCTCTGCTTGTTGGGATTTGTAGTCTAACTGGTAAGTTTCTCTATATTTTTCTGCTGAAAAATTGAAATGCTGCCATCTAGTGAAACTCAAGATTTTAAAAGTGCGATTTTTTTCCTACACAGGAAAGGACAAAAAGGGATCACCAGCATTAACTGGCCATTCTCCCTAAGGAATTGAAGAAATGAACAGAATCCCCACAAAAAAAAAAGCGGCCAAAACCATGTTTTTCCCAAGCAATCTCTCTTTAGCAATATAAGCTATCGAATTCCAAATTAGGACAATACTTGCGTGTTAAACTGGTGATTTACCAACTTCTCTTTTCTTTTTGTATCTAGTGGTTTAACTTACATTTGTTAAAGCAGAGTTAATATCAGACTGGAAGATTCTAGGACAAACTAATTTAGTTACAAGCTCACACCAGACCTAAAGCTACCCCGATAGCATTCTTAAAGAATTTGGAATCCTGCCTGAATCCTTTTCCACAGAAAAGCCACTTCTGTGGGTAAACTGGGACACACATACACAAAGTTCAGGAATATTAAGTTTATCTTGTCTTTCTGCTGAACTACAATAGCTTTCTAGGGGTTTGTAAATCAGCTCCCCAGTAAACAAAATCTTTAATGACTAGGTTTTCTAAAAGCATTTATCCTTCTGTCCCTAACCTTTTAGCTTACTGAATTCAGACACAGACCTGTTGCAATAGGTTCCTGTTTTTCAGCTCAGTCACCAGAAAAATCTCCAAATCTAGAAATGTTCCAAGCAAGCAATAATTAACAAAAAAAAACCCTTGAAATTGTCTATGAAAGAGGTAGATCTAGATATACACCTAGTTTCCCCCTTCTGGAAGGAAAAAGTCAGTTTAATTCATTTATTAGAACACCAAAATAGAGGGAATGAAAAAAAAAAAAGCTGGTAGCTAAAGGAAATATCTTTCAACCATATCAGGAAATTGAAAAAACAAACCAACCAACCTACACACACCCTCAACCAACCCCAAAACAAACCAAAACAGCCCAGCGCACAAACACTAGCACTTTGCATTTATCACTGTGAGGAAATAAATTGCTCCTACATACCTATGGCTGTGGTAGGAAAGGAGACGTTGCAGTGCTGAACTCGGTAATGGTATTTAGAACCCGCATGTTTTTGACTAGCACATGTTTTGACTAGACTTTAAAAGCTTCCCAAAATACATTCCAGGTCAGAGATTTAGAGGTAAATGCTTGCAATTTCTTAGTAGTTACAGTAGTTGGCAGAGTTTTCAGATATTCAAGGTAAATAGATAATTAGTTCTTTATTGAAGATCTCTGAAGTACCTCCCATCAGGTAGAAAATCCTTGTGTGACTCTTCCAGTTCCAGTAGCTGCTGAATGCCCAGGAACATGTCAATGTAACCATTTGCTTATCAGTTTGGGTAACCCAAAATGGAGTACTTGAGACCTAGCATCACTGAGAGCTTTATTCCTATAAAATAAGGATGATGCTTTTGATGCAGGTATCTTTCTTAGGTATGACTTTCTCATCTCACAATGATGATTTCATTCTTAACAGAGTTGACCTCAGGTTTTGAATGGCAAATTCCTATTTAGTAGGCAGGGGAGGGCACATGGGGAGGAGGATCTACCTTTTAGACTTCAAACATTTCCTGGCAGGGAAAGATTCAGTTAGAAAGAAGAATTAAACAAAACACTGGTGACATAGACTTGTCCAACAGCAAACTTCCGCACAAAGTAATTATTGCGGAAAGTTATAAAGGATACAGACAAGAAGCAAAATAATGATGGAAGTGGTGAGATTACTGTAAAAGATAGTCTTTAGACACTGCATACTGTAATCAACATCCTTAGATCATAGCACAAGTGAAGTGACCAGCAAAAATATTTTAAAATACTTAACACATTAAAGTTTATTGTCAAAACAAGCTTTCTTATACAAAACATACAAAAAAGTAGGTCTCACAATGCAGATAAGTCTGCCTTGCAGCCCTGATCGTCCAGTTTATTTTCCATTCACTAGAGTAGCAGAAAAGTGTCAGGTCCATTGCTTGCTATTAAAAAAATCCAACACTCAACTTCAGACAGGAACTAGAAGTATATTGAAAGATGATGCAAAACACAAAGTTACTGTTGGTACCATAATTGGCTGAGCTGCAGAAATATTGTAAGGAGTTTAAGAGGAACCCTTGATTGTGCGCCCTATATAGAGAAGTTAAAGTTGTGGTGAAAATGCAGTTTCTGTGGACTTAGAGAAAGCATGGTGCAAAGACCATAGGCTAAGAAACAAAAAGTATAGTTCTTCCCAGCTCAACAGCACTCTGAAGATACAAATATCGACCACCCAGAAGAGGGCTGTTTCAGGAATGACAGAATAAAAAGTTTAAGACTGAGAAGTTTCACAGCAGATTAGTTTGTGATCCATTCATATTTCCGTTTTTTTTCTTCAATACATTGCCTTTTCTTTCTTTGCCATCCAAAAAAAACCCCACCAAAGTAGAACATCATCAGATCAGCAGGTTGTGGGCAACATAACTGCTTTTCCATTTTCGTTCTTGTATTCCAGGCTTTTCCAGTTGTGGGAAGTAGCAACTCCAAGACAGCAAGGGATTATCACAATTCGTGGAAGAGGCTGATGGCTTTTGACCTGAAGTAATCATCTTTTGTATACGCAGATTCTGGCTGTAGCCACTGCAAAGGCAGCTTACAACAGAGCACCTTTATTGGGTGGTACAATCGGGGGCTTTATCTTTCTCTGAAGTTCCAAACCACTGCTTAAGATGCTCTTCTGTGGGCTCTATTCCCGCAGGTCGCATATCTATACAGAAGACAAGAACATTTAAAGTAACACTTAAACTTTCCAGTTAGACAAGCAGTAGGAATACAGCAATTTAATATTGACTAGTGTTTTAAATGTCAACTATGAAAGCTTGGCTCTGAGGAGCTTTGTATTGTGAGGAAGTCTGTACTAGTACCAGATTGCCCATCAACAAGAAACAGCAATGAGTCTCATTCATTCTGGAAGTCTGCCATTAATACCTTGAAAACTGGTTAACTCTTCAACATGTCTGCTGGGGCCTCCTGAAAGTTTTTAGAAGCAAGCGTAATGATGAGGGCAATAGCATTAATACACTAGTGGAGATCATTAGGAGGCTTCCCCAGAAGTCATCAGGCCAGATATAAGAAATCCTGAGTAGGGCTGAGGAACAGAAGTTATCAAAACAGCTATTACTGCAGCTGCAGCCAGGCAGACAAAGACTAAAGCCTACCATGTTGAAGTTTAGGGAAAAAAAGTTAACCAGCAGTTAACTTTGAATAGTTCTGCCAGAAGTCCGTGCTTAACCAATGTAAAGTTAAAAAGCAAAACATTTTAGAGCATCAGCTATCTAATAATGATATTCTGCTAATTCACTTTTTAAAGTCAGTCATCAACATTTCCACTGCAGGGAAAAAAAAGAAGTTGGTATAATCTTCAGGGGGTGAATGACTCATTTAAGTATTTAGGTTCTGTAGAGCATACAAACTTCACGAATCCAGCTGGTCAGCCCTTCAGCAGTCAGCTCACTAACTCTTCAGGAAAACTGTTATGCAATTTCAGGTCTGAATGTAAAGAGTACAGAGCATTTACCCTCAACTCACAGACCACCCCTTATATTTTGTCTCTCCAAATCTTTATAGGACACCACCACTGTGTTATGTACCTGTTAGTGTACCCAAGCTGGAATTATCAAAGAAATTTGTCGGACAAGTCAGTGGCAGAGGCTTTGATATGTCCTGAGTCACAATTTCCTGAGAAATAGGTTCCTTGGAGGGTGAAGGCATTTGCTCTTTAAGGGAATATGGCACTGTCTTCCTTGGAGACCTTGGTACTGTCTCTCGAGTGGCTTCTCTCGAGGATCGTTCTTTCCATTTTAGTGCTCTTTCTTTCCATTTTCTAAGTTCCTCTTTCAGTTGAAGCTCATTACTGAAAAGAAAAAAAAACCAAACAGCAGCATTTAATTAAAAAAATTTAAATCAGCTCCTTTAAGCAAGGAAAAATTCCAGACAGACAGTTCCTATATTTTCAGACGACATACCATGGACATGGCAATGCAAGACCATATCTGCATATCTTGCTTTCAGAGGCAAAATTTTCTTTATTTTTTAAGCTAAAATTCCTTCCAACATACAATTTAAAGAAAGCAATTTAAAGTTCAAAAGCCATAAAGATATATATAAGCAATAAATCACTAGCTTTAAATAAAAGTTTATGGTGTGAAAGAATCTAGAACATCTGAAATTAATAATAATTATTCACTTCTATAGGTGTCCCAGAAAGAAACACTAATGACACGCATAGTTAAATAGCAACAAATGATTTGACATGTTGCTGATCAGCTTTATACTTACCTTAGCAGAAGGTCATTTTGTTTCTTCAGGTGCAAGTTCTCTTTCTGTAGCTTAGCTTGTTCAGACTTTAGAACAAGTATTTGTGTGCTCTGCACAATACCACTGCCACCACCACAAGTAAGGGGTATTTGGGATTGCTGAGGAGCTTCTTTTTCCAGCATGACTAGAAAACAGTTTTATACAGATGTGTGCGTTATTTGGACAGTGCTTAAAACCAACTCAATATATTTTTTAATCCTATTCCTTCCTATAGTCTTACATGTAAAACCTCACTAGGTTACAAGCGCCATTACAACAGCTATTCTTTTTTTATACACAAACACTCTTCCCAGTATTCACACTGCCAGGGGGATATTAATAAAATTAAGAGATTCTTCATTGGGCCATTTAGAGATCAAATAGTTATAGTTTCAGGTATGTCATAATTATGATTAGAACTAGCTATTCATATGAGAAGTCAGTCAAGGATAAAAATGGCAACATGAGCTACTACAACTGCAGCTTATCCCGCTACATGTGCAAACATGGCTGGAGCAATAAACACAAGAACTGCTGTGATTCTAATGCAGTGTACGTGCAGCTAACATTTTACTTTCCATCTCATCTTTCAATGCACCCAGTCCTCCTCATACCCTTTGAGCTAAAAGGCCTGCATCTCAATCTGGACTTTAACCATATAAAACCTTAGAACTGCATGTTTAACATCAAAGAGCCCCTTATATTTATCTTCCATTTACCAGTAACATCTTGCTCTTGCTGTGCTCTTCTAAGTTCTTCTTTTAGTTTTCTTAACTGTTGTTCTTGGTGTTCTGCAAGAGCTTTATAATTAGCCAGTCTATATGGGGCAGAAAGGGAGGAAGAAAAAACACAGAAATCCTCAGTTTAATAATTATGACAGTTACAGGAGAACTAGTCTGCTTTCCAAATGAGCTATCAAATGCAAAACATACCCAAGTTATACAGGTAAACTACATAAACCTGGTTGTCAGATTTTAGATAAAGTGCAGAAAACCAAAAGTTGGACTAGAATTATTCTCTGTGTATCCCTTCTCTCCAGTGAACTGGAGAGTGCTCTCAATTACTGCTTTCCCCACACCTTCTTTTGTCAGAACAGTTATTTTGTGTATGGCTGAACATGGGTTGGTTGAGAAATTTTGGTGGGTGTATAGGGCAAGAGTTTTGTAATCAAGATGCCTATCTTTACTTTCTCTGTAATCTAGCTACAATAAAAACCTAGGACACCTAAAGCTGAATGCACACTTGTTCTGTGGAAAAAATAAACAGAAAAGTAGAAGTTAAGAACTAAGTAGTTGAGAATTGTAACAAGGTAAAATTTGAACTTACTTCATCTCAAAAGAGTTGGATTGTTTCATTCTTTCCATATCATATTTTACCAATTGTGTTTTGAGATGATCAATTTCTTCTCTGTACAACTCAGCACCTTTATCTAATTTTGCCTGAAAATAAAATAAATTATTTAGTATGAAGAAAGGCTTGTTACTTAGCAATGAATTTAAGGGTTGCTTGCTTTGTATCTTTACTGCAGAATCTAGCAGATCATAGGACAAGACTGCGAGCAGAAAGTTATTTTGAAGTAAGAACACCCACATTACCAATTAGCACTACAGTATTAGTTGGTATCCTAACTCTGGTATATTACACGCAATCATATTTTAGCAAGTTTCACTGACTTGTTTGCAGATATAAGTCCGGGAATTTTGAACTAGTATGCAAATATATTACATAGAAAAAAACAGCTCATGCTTCAGTTTTAAAATGTAAATTTTTTTTTTTTTAGAGTGTTTCAGAAATGCATCACGGGCAAGTGATAATTTAGCTTCTAATATCATAACATGGGTTCTAAATTTTGTCCCTGAAGGCTGCATTGGTAGAATGTGAAACTGTACGCTAGACAGGCAAGTAGAGTGTTTTACTCTAACAGTGCCATACAGAACAATAAACTGACTTTAGAGAGCTATGTTTCATGTACAGCTATTCTCAAGCATGCTCTGTCTCTCTGAGATCAGAGGAGAATGAGGAAAGTATTTTGCTCATACCTGAAGACTCTGATTCTCTGTTAAGGCAGTACTGAGGCACTTCTCTCTCTCATTCAGTTTGGCTTGCAGTTGGGTGAGCTCACTTGTCTCTGTTTTTATTCTTATCTGTGCTTGTAACTTGTTTATCCTGTCATCTTTCTCTTTGACATTTTTTCCTACTTCATTTATTACATTTTCCAGCTTCTGAATTTTTACTTCCATAGCCTATTGAGATAGATCAATCAGTTATGAGTAGTTATGCCAAGAGATATAACACTAACAGCACATGGTCATATTCTAGAGAAAGACAAACAAAAAACTCAAACCACACAAAAAATCCAACACTACAGGCTCTGTGGCAACTCTTGGTGTCTACCACACTGTTTTGTGTCACCTTTTAGTATTCTGGAACACTCAAGTCTAAGAAAAAAGTGCTTTGAACAAGGGTAACTGTGACAAAAAAATAGAACAGAGAAAATGAGTCCTCAATTCCTCGGATTAAAGACAGAATTCTTCTCTAGCTTCCAGTTTGGCATAGTGAATACCATATACTTAAAAGGAACCATAAAGAGTATCGCACTATTAAAATCAATACTTCAAAAACAAAAACTCCATTTCATATGGATTTCTAAACTGACATCTATTTGTGTACAGAACACAGGCAATTAAAACAATCATTACAGGCAACAGCTCAAACTTTCACCTTAGGAATAAATAAAGCTACAAAAATAAAGCGCACTCTGGGCCAATGTATTGTGTGGCACAGAGTTACAGCTGCCAATCTTTATTTTCTTTTCAGTTTGAAGTACCCACACTTAGAAAACAAGCATCAAAGAAGTTTTCCTTAGAAACAGATATCGGTACCTTTATATCTTGTTCTGCAGTCTTTAATTTGTTATGAAGCCTATAGTTCTCTTCTTCTAACGCAAGACTGGCAGAGCCACCAGGGGCCAGCTGTTCTCTAAGAGTGTTTAGTTCCTGAAGCAACTCTTCACTTTTCTCTTTTCTCTGTTTTGATTCAACATCAGCATTTTTACAATAATTGGCAGTTCTGGTATCCAGCTCTGAAGAAAGTTGAAGGAGTGTCTGAAAATAAGTAGTGTCATACAGATAGATTTTAAATAATTTTTTGAATCGGCTAGAAATAAGTTAAGTGAAGAAACAGGAAGTGTTTGGGCCTGTATTAATTTCACATTCTTGTTTCAGTGTCCCATTTGAAGATGCTTGCTATCAGAAATGGAATCACTAACACTCAAAAGACTGGTTTCATTTCCAAAAGAGGAGGAGGCAGAAAGGGGCACAAGAGAAGATGATGCATTGCAAATTTACAAGTATTACTGCATTAACTCAAACAAACACTAACATTACAGAAACAAAGGAACTATATTGGAAAGACTTCTTGAATGTCAGGAACAGAAAGAAACACAATTATTTGCATAAGTTTTCGCTAGAATGTATTCATTGACTAAATTCAGCAAAACCATTTGAGAGAAAATATACACATTGGACTGTTCTAGAAACCCATATGCTTAACATGCCAGGTAAAGAAAAACTTGTCAGGAAATGACAATGACTTTATACTAGATTTTTTTTGTTTGTTTGGTAAAAGCTTTGATCCACATATGTCTGTCAGGGAATTCTTCCAAAAAGCCTGCCAACACTGGGAAATCCTGAAGAAGCCAAGACTGCCTATTGATTCTACAGAATAAACTTTTTAAAATAGGCTAAACTTAACAGGACAGAACTGAGTCACGACATTGGGGGAAGGAGGGTGATGAGCTCATCATACTTCAGATCAACACTAGCAGAAGGAATAACAGTATGAACAGACCAGGAACTTCCAGGATACGCTTGTTATGAAGACTGTTCCTAACGGCCAATCAGAAGGTAGTGGGTTCCCTCCCATAACCTGTTTTTTTTTTTTTTTTTAGAAATGTTCAATACGTTTACTCAGAAAGATGAAATCTCACTAAATCCTGTTCATGATGCACTTAACCCTGTAAAACACTTAGTCTTTTTTTCCAAAAGGGGCAAGAGGTAAGAAGGAAAGAGAAGAGAAAGGAAGGCTGAACCACCTCTAGAATAACTTGACTTTCTGCAATTAGAAAAGGTGTGAGAATATAAATTGCAATTGAGTTTTAAAAATGGCTAAAGTGGTTTTGATGAAGTTGGCTTGAAGATAGCAGACAATCTTGTGGGCACAAAGCCTGGAGAAAGTGATTTTATCAGGCTGCCAAGTTCCTCAAGCAAAGCTTCGTAACAATTTTGAACCTACAGTTTCCAGAATTCAGTCTAACAAAAATGCAAGCAAACAACCCCCTCTACCCCCATTTATCACCTAGAAAGTCTTTTACAAAGCAAATTTCCAAGTTTGGATGCATGAGGAAAGTAGTCTTTAAAAATAATCTTCTAAGTATTCCTACATTTTACAGTTAAGTACGAATACAGTAAGTGCTGATAATAATGAATGATCTTTAGTAGCCTTTTTTTGTGTTTTGTTTTCAATCAGATTAGAGGCATTTACAGAGTGCTTACACAAAATACATTTCTGATTAAAGAAGATTTAACTTTACCTTTACTTTAGGAGTCCAGAAGTTAATGACTTGCAAAAGCCTTTCATTATCTTTCTTTAACTCTTCTTTAAGTTCCTCTGCATCGCAGTGAGTTCCTGAACAAGCTTCCCAGAACTGTGCTGTTTCTTTTCTAGCACTTTCTTCTTGCTGCAACTCTGCCTCTATGCAGAGAAGTTCGCTTTCCATTTCTGATACATCTTTGAGAATGTTCTTTAAAAAAGAGGGAATTCAAGTTTAAATATTGCTTTGATAACTACATGTCTAAATATACATTTTGCCCCCTTAGCTATCAATATTTGCAGGAAGTCTGTTTTAGCATCTGATTATTGTATAAAAGGAACTTTGCTATACTTAAGTTAAACCCTACTGGGAAAATGAGAAGGCAATCTACATTCCTGGGGCAGGTGGGAATGGGAAAGGGGAAAAAGTGTGCATGTCAGTAAAAGTTTATTTCATTGTCTTAAAAGTCATCTTGGTATCAGGTAGTGTATATTTTACAGGGCAAATGAGTAAATAACATTCCCACTATTTTATAACCTAATAATTTCACTATGAGCCACTTTATAAAACAGAATCTTCATATTATAGAATTAGTAGCATAAAAAAATACGAATTCTATCCCCCCTTAAATGAAGTCTTAGCAGATAAAAGCAATGCCATTAGATTAGCACCACCACATTACCCCATGCCTTGAAATATACAAGCCTTTCTGTCTGAAAATTGTTTCAAATACTACCTCTGCATCCGAGTGCAAACTCTGCAGCACTTCACTGATGTTTAACTCTTGAGACGATATTTCATTCTGGTTCAAATAAGTCTTCTTGAGACACTGAATCTGAGCTCGTAGCTGATCTTGTTTTCTCTTTTCCTCAAGCGATTCCATTTCATACTTGTTAACAGTAGTATGATATTCTCTTTTCTTCGAGCAAACACGACCAAACAGGAACTGTCATAGAAGCACAGGATATATCAGTGAGTACGCTTTAAAATGGTACCCTGCATCCAGCTAAAATTCCATATTTTGTAAGTACATCTATTTACTCTCTAGTCCATAGGTGTCCAGGACAACTAAAACATGACTAAGAAAATCAAGTTCACACGTGCTGTATAGCAATGGCTTATAAGACTTCTAGCTGGGTCAGCATTTCTAAAGTATGCTTTCTCTGTAGATTCCTAAAAAGGCCAAAAAGTCTAAAAGGCTCTAGGCAGCCTTCCATGAACCTAGACTTTGAAAAGCAAAGTATTCTTTGATGTATTTATTTTCTCTTAGAGTTGTGAAAGGTGCAGATGGTCTACAAGAATAATATCACTGTGCTGATTTAAAGCTTTATTCTGTCAAGACCACTACTTAAATCTTAAACATCTTTAACCATAAAAGTTAAAAGGCATCTATGGAAAAAAAGAAAAGATATCAGAACCTAAAAAACCTATGTGAAGTTATGAAATAAGGCTCTTTGGAATAGTTAAAATTTTTAGCTAATAGATATTTAGAGAGACAACTGACTCTCAAGATCATGTCCAGTATTTTCACATACTGGACAGGAACCTTGCCCTCTCCTCAGGCCTGCCCCTCCTCACCCCCCAAACAAACCAACCAATCAACCAAAAACAAACACAAAAAACCCTTAACATTTCATGGTAAATAAAGAAACAGAAAAACACTTTACCATTTACTGTACTTCTGCATATGATAACTGGAGTTCTTTCCCAATTGCCCTTAATTTTTTTCTGATAATTGGAATCAGTTTCTCCACTGAACTACAAATTGTGGAAGATCTGCAATGCTATAGAAGTTAAACTACTTGGGTAGTTTTGCAGAGTAAACATGCATCTCCATGGCATCTTTCATGTCTCTTTCCCCCAGAATAAAATACATACTTAGGGGTCCATAATTTGATTTATGGAGTACAGAAAGAAATTTCTTTTCCCAATTAAAATGGATTAATATTAATAAAATAATACTGTGCAAAGCAGCTGAACTACAGTCAAAACCTAAGGTTGATTAACATAAGTAGTTCCCATTTTTCCAGGGCTGTAAAGCATTTACTATTGATTTATTTTCCACAAGACACAGATTCACAAAAATCAAAGCTAGAGTATACAGAATCCTAGCTGTTAATATTGAGAGCTTATTAAAAAACCCCAAACCAAAGCAATATGAAGCATCCACATCTTCAGCATTTTAAGATGGTACCTTTAGTTTGTTCAATAAACTCTGCAGATGACTGTTTATTTTCTCATTTTCAGTTTGAAGTCTTTTGACTTGTTTACTCTGTTCCGATGAAAGCTGAGTCAGTATCACAGCTATCAGTGCTTTCTGACTATTCAGTTGATTCTTTAGATTAAGAGACATTGTAGAGAGACGTTCATACCTCTTCCCCATATTTGGGAATTTCTCAAGAAGTTCCTAAATGCAAGTGAAACAAATGCATTCAGTCACAATAAGGAAGAGTGTGATTAACTGTAAACAGAAGCTTAAAATAAACCATCAGACTCCAGGACTAAACCCTATAGCATGTATTTGTTTTACAACAGAAAAGTTAATAGGACTAAGACTTCAGTTTTGACTTGCCAGAGGAACATGACAAAAACACTAAGCCAGGCACAAAAGCAGAGAATTTCTTAGTTTTCCAGAAAATCATTTCACAATCTCAAATTATTTTCGTGATTTAGATTGCCTGGCCACATCAAGACCTGTAGAGATCAGGCCCAAAATGAAATTGTTGCCTGTTCACGAGTTTGCCAGCTGGGCTGCCTGCAGGATGGGCTCCCAAGTTGATCTACTTGGTCCTTTGTTGAAAGAAAGGCATAACAACATTGTTCCTAGCACTCTGCCATAAAAAGGGAGATGCAATCAAGCAGTGAACAGGTTGAGAAATGCAACAGGCTTTAAGGCACTCCCAGTAAACTGCAGCTCAAGTATTACACATGAAGCTAGGTTATACATTTTAAAGTAAGCATAAAACTTCCTAGGCATACTGCCTCCATTTTTGGTTCTTAGTTGAAAGAAGCAGAATTCACCTTTTTTTTTTTTTAACTATTCACCCCACAGTAAAAACACTGGAACTAACATATGCCCTGGGTCCAACAGAAGCAAGTACGAGATACTTGAGAAAACTGCACAAGAAAGAGGCAGACAAGATCTTGCCTATTACAAAAGTCAGAAGGGGAGAGTGCTATTAGAAGGGATCAACCGATGTTTACTTCCCTCATTATTAGCTCCCTACTGCTGATGTAAGGATAGAAAGACAGTGTGAACAGAAAGCTACACATAACTGATCTTTGCAATTTGGTCCTTTACCATTTTTGGTGTTAACTGAAGCAGCACTCGGGGCTTTTCCAGCACATAGAGAGCGATGCCTGCTGCACAGATGTACAGACTGCAGTACAATGGTACTCTTTAACGTGTTTCATACATATTCATCAATCCTGGTTTATTTTGGCTTTCAATAGGTTAGTATACTTCTCACATCTGTGAGAAAGTATATTCAGGATAGTTAATTACCAAGAGCTCTGAGGAATTACAGGAGCTTCTTATTTTGAGGAGAGAAGGTATTTAATGAAATTAATTTAAAACATTTATTTTTGATGGGGAGTAACGGAAGGGAGGATTGGGGGAGGATTTTGCGAAAACAAAAGGGTGAAGTGCTTCTACGTGACTAGTTATTTTCATCGGGGTGGCTGGACAGGAATGAAATCAAGTGAGATGTCTTAACTGAGAAGTTCAATTTAATGTTCTCAGAACAAGATGCACGGTCACTGAACAGCAACAGGAAATCAACTGATCCCGTGGTTGGCAGCATCTTAGCAAGATATGCAAACAGTTTTATACATTATACACAGAAGCGAGATTTATGCTCCAGAACAAATAGTATTAAGGTTTAACATGCATCCTTAAAATAAGCAGAGAAGTAAGTTTACCTTAATTTTCAAGGTTTTTTCCTTCAGGCTATCATCAGCCATCTGCTCTGCATTATCCAGTGGGTTCACCTGAATGGACATATCATTCAGGTTTCTCTGCTTTAGTTGGTCTAGAGCACATTCCAGTTTTGCATTTGTTTCACCACACTAAAATAAAAGCATATATATTTAAGTACCATTCAAGAAGAGACGTTATGAATAACTTAGGTACGCAACTTGCAACACCAACCATCTCAGAATTTTTTTGCAATTCTGCCTTGAGCTGGTCCCGCTCAGATGTGACATCCTGGAGAAGTTTTTGTAGCTGAGTGGCTAGTTCTTTCAGCCAATAACTGGTCTTTTTCACACGATATGCTATTTAGCATCTCAGTTAACTGTTGAATCTATAATAAAAGTGGAGAAAAAGCAAGAATTATGATTTGGTCCTAGTCTGTATACTCCCCTATGAAGTACTCAATTCAGTTGTGTCAAACACAAAGAACACCATTTCCAATAACTAAAATTCACACTAACAACAAGAGAAGTTTAAAAATAATTTGTGTTCTGGTCACTCCGAAAAAGAAATTAAAAGGAAGGGTAATAGCATGACACCCAGAGAACTCTAGTCAACTTCAACCTCCAGTAAGCAAGAGGAAACAAACAAAAGGCAGTCAACATATGTCCACATCACAAGAAAAATGAAAAGAAACAGAAGATTAGTATAAGAGATGAGCAATGGAATTGTCTTGATATCTCTAATGAATAGAACAGCAACACGTTTGCTAATCTGAAACAATCCTTAATTATACTCTTTGATCTACAGACAAAGGAAGAGCTTCACAGGTGAAAACTGAAAAAAGACTGACTTGGCAAGAGCTAAGTACAAGACTTTCTGAATAAACAGATCTAGTTTCAAAGTGTGCAAAGCACCAAGGATTCCAAATCCACTTAGGTTCATACTGTCTACACAGTGCCTTTTAAAGTCTGAATAAATACACGTACAATTACTGACCATTATATTAAGCCTGCACACATTGGATAAATTGGTGTCCCTTCTAATAGAGTGACGAACTCAACTGGTTATGAAGCTGAAACAAGTTGAGGATGCTACTTCTAAATATCACTAAAGAAACTCATACAAAATCCTTTGCCCATGTTCATGCTTGTTTAGCACCCAAAAAAATGATGCGCTGAGAATTAAAAATTAATTAGGATTTGTCTTGAGCAAAAGTTTAGCACATCAGTGATAAAACATCAGAAGACAGAACAACTACTAAAATGAAAACTCCTCACCTTGTTTGTTAGGCTGTCCTCCAAAATCTCTGACCGCCTCTGAACTTTTAGCAAATTTTCTTCCCTTTCTTCAGCTTTGATCTTCTCATTGCTGAGGAGTTCTTGTTGCCACTTCAATTCCTTTTCGGTTTCAAGAATCTGGAGTAAAAATAAAGCAACAAATATAAAATTAAGTTCTGAGACAGCATATGAATCTACCTCTCACACACGAGGCCATTCAATATCTCATAGGAGTCAAAAATACTTGGCACAAAAAAACCCCCCACTCTTTAGTTGAGTACAAGAAATTTCAAGTTTTTGAAAGTTTCTCCTTTCATTAAGGAAAACCTGCCAACTAGCATACTGATAAATCCCTAGTAATGTAAAGAATTAGACAAAGTATGCTACAAACAGGTTTGGGCATTTTCTGCAATCCCTGTTTACACAGATGAGTAACACAAAGCAGAGATGTAATCTGAGTAGGATTCACATCAAGAACTGTCTAGAAATCATTACTTAACACAATTTTATGAGTTGGACTGCTGTCAGAGTGCTGTTACATTATCTTTGATAATTATAGAACTAGTATTCCTTTCACTAAACCTTTGAATTTCCAGTGAAGTTGAAGTTTTACAGAAAGACAATTGATACACAAAAACAGGTGAATTAGAAGATATTGGTAGCGAGAGTAAGAAGATTCTTCTCCCACCATAGATTTGAATTAACTACAGATATTTGAAGTGATTACTCAATATCTGAAGAAAGGACTGCTGCTCAATGGATAACACCCAATTCACTTGCCTTCATTATTGCGAAGATATGCCTCATCCAGAAGAGAAATAAAAGCGTCAAAATTTGTCAGCTTTAGTTTCGAAACTTTGGAGGTCAATTACAAAACGTACCATTTCATCAAATTAACTTAAAAAATGCCCGTTAAGTTTTAGCAATGAAACCCATGTCTTTTCCAGTTCCTCATTTATTTCTAAATAAAGCAGCCTTAAATAACATTTTTGAAAGAACTTACATACATCTTTAAATACCATTCCACAAGACAGAAGTTAAAGCATGCCAATATTCTTCAGTCTGGGTATGTAACGTTAATACTTGTAAGATATTTTTCAACACAGCTTCAAGAATTAACCATCTTCCTCTACCAAGCGTTTTAGTTATTATACTTTAATCAAAGATAAAGCACCTTATCAACACTCTCCTGTAGGTTAATCTCCAGTTTGTTCTTCTCTGCTTGAATACCTTCCAGCATTTCTTGGAGCTGATCTCTCTCCTGTGCTAACAAATCACACTGTTGCTCCAGCTGCTGAAGTTTACCGCTTTCACTCTCAGTCTTTTCTTTTAGTTCTCCCAGTAGCTGGTACTTTTCCTTAGTTACCAAATGTAAGTCCTCGTTCAACTGGACTACCTATTAAAAATATTTTAAAGAAGTATAAGATCAGCACATAATTATTCGCAAAACCTCCTCTTCTGCTGCTTCCTTTTCTGCTGCTAAATTGTATTACCATGACATCATCTCTGTACCCATTGTCATGGGTAAATACCTGTTATTCTGATGCGTCCTTGAGAGGACACCCTCTAAATTGTTTCTAAGAGTTTCTTATTACTATACTTGCCTTTTCTTTCAGTTTGTTTATTTCTTCATTTAGTTTTTCTTCAACGTTTTGCAATTTCTCTTCTTCATTTGCTAGCATGTTCTTCTGGATATCAGCTTGCTCTTTCTGACGCCTTAGCTCTTCCTGTAGATTTTCCATTTCTGTCAGAACTTTTAAGGACTGCAGAACAAGGTATTACATGGATGTTCACTCAGTATGACTAAGTTTTGTTTATCAGGAATTAAGAACGATAAGTCAAAGCATTTGAATTTCTAGGAAAGAACTATCAGAATAATGAGTCTTTTACTTTAGAAAAAAACCCCTCAGTTGTCATTCCCCCATGCCTAGTTTAAGAACTCCAAAGTAAGACAGTCTTTAGAAATAGTCTTTATCAGTTAAAAAAAAAAAGTAGGCAGAAGTAAAGAGAAAAGGGAAAAATGTTGTGGGAGGAACAGATTATGTAGATGACTATTTAAAAAAACAAAACCACCCACCCCGCCATGAAAGGTACCCTTATTCTTGTGGCAACTGCCATCAGTTACATGAACAATTTGTCCAATTGTTTAGTAGCAAGACGTAAATCTAAAATTAAAGATTTGATAATCCTAGTTTTAGATTTTAAAATTAGTTGGTCTATACATACTTAAAAGAGATCAGTGGTTCTACATGAGGTTTACTAAAATTCACATGAAAGCTTTTGCATTTCTTAAAATAATTTGCAGAGCTTCTCTTAGAAAAAACAGATTTCCCATTAAATTTAGAAGTTATCAGCTTTATTTTTGTTAACTACATATCAGAACAAATTTGTTTGCGATAGTGTGTCAACATAAGCGTACTTTTCATGCAAATACTTGGAATATTGAAGTCACTAATCTGCCAGGAAATAAGACATCAGGAAGGAGAAATAGGATAGCTAATTAGTTTCTTTTCTGGGTTTGGATTTCTCTTCATCAATCCAGAATGAGCTTAAGTGATAGGAAGATTAAGCCCTTAGATATCAGTAAACCTGGATTACCTCTACTGTTCAGTGCTAAATACAAAGGCGCTATAGATGAAAGATGTGACAGGAACTTGCAGAGGTGTTTGTCCAGCAGGTGGCAGACAACTGTGCCCAAATCCAGAGCGACACCGTGACCACAAGGGCAGGAAGGGGATGGGGGAAGAAAAAAGAGACAGATTCCACAAATCCAGATTGGATTAGTAAACTAAATTTTTAGTTTACTGCTGCTATGAACAAGTGAAGGGAGAGGAAGAGATACCGAATAGCAGAAGGCTTTATGACCAAAACAATTCAGAATGGTACAACCTGCCTTTAAAACAATAATTATTTAAGAGATTTTATACATACTCTCTCCTTGCTTTCCCGACAGTCAGCCTCTAACCGATCTCTTTCTGCTTTACACGTCTCTACCATGTGCTGTAGCTCATCTTTCTCCTGATTAAGTAAAGTGATTTTCTCAAGCTGCTGACAGATATGCTCATTCATTGTTCTTTCAGTTTGTTCTTTTTCTGTCAGTAGCTTGTCATATTCAGAAGAGACGTGAGTCAGGTTTTCAGTTACTTCAGTGAGCTGAAAATACAAATAAGAACCAGTATTAATATTTCTAATCATCTCTAGCATAGGTAGAAGTAATTTGATAGTTAGTTTGGAAAAAAAAAAAAAAACAAAACAGTAACATTCTAATTTATTAGATTTTGTTGTCCTAGTAATCAGGTTCTGATTTAAGAAGAATGTTATTGGATCATATTTCACAAGCACTATCTGTACATACAGGTTGTTTAATTGGATTATTTTACAGAAGACACCTCCATTAGTTTACTGCTATAGTAAGTAAAGGAAGACGTAACAATTTTGCTTAAGAGTCAATCAAATTTCAGTGCTTCTGTCTCATCGGTAGAAAAAAGTGAATGTGTAAAAACCTACAGGCTATAATTCCATAAAAATGACTCCGTTGCTGTATCCACAGCAGATAGAAGACATTAACACTTGTTAGAATCAAGCCTAAAAGCCACAATAGCTTCAGACATGAAAATAAGTAGATAAGAAATTGATAATAGTGCAGCAAGTTAAAGAATGAGCTGAACTGCCTTTTAGTTGCTCAAGTATCTTCAGAGTTACATAGCTAAAAGGCATATTATTAGAATTTAACAAGTTTTAAGACTTCAAAAATGCATTGAGGTCAAAGAGCGGTATTGATTCCAAATACTATTCCATCATTCAGCACTAAGGCATGTTTAGTTATAAGTAAGGGTTGTAGCTTGCAGGTCAAGTTGCATTTGATCATCTTTTCACTGCCTCTGTTCTATGGACTTCTTTTGAGAAAGAGTACAGGGAAAAAAAGAAGGGAAAAACTTTTAATTAAGTTTTGTCATTACATTTACTGAACCGTTACAAACTGAAGTCTGCAGAGGACATGGGTTGCCAATCCTGATAGAATTTTTAGTTTACTTGACAAAACTGCATCTGACCTTCTGCTGCAGTTCATCAGTTGTTTTCTTCAATGCCTCTTGTGCTTTCAAGAGTTGATTTTCTTTCTCTGAAATACTTCCTTTCAGTTCCACAATAGTCTCCTGATATTGTCCAAGAGAGTTACGAGCACATCTCAACTCTTCCTGCATCTCTGAATTCTTTGGACACAACACAGTTAAAATACATTAAAGCCTGAGCAACACTTCCAAAATTTAAGACAGAAGTTTACTAAAGCTATTACCCTAAAGGAATAGGACTATTTTTCTTACCATGCCAATTGTCTCCTGTAGAGTTTCTCTTAGCTGGTCTCTCTCATTTTGGAGATTCTGCAGTTGCATTTTAAGATCATCATCTCCTCTTTCTGTCAGAGTGCTCACGTCCTGACAGACATGCAATTTTGGAATAAAATCATTTCTCTCCATTTTTTCAGATTCTCTTTGACATTCATTGGCCTTCATTTCCTCCATTTCACGCAATTTCCTTTGTGCCTGGCTCAGTTCTTCTCTCAGAAGAAGTAATTCTTGCTCAACAGATTTTTCTTGAATCTGTGGTATCTATTTTATACAGAGATAGAAGTCAACACATTTGAGGAAGTAGCTTTAAGAGAAACATATCTGACCTTTGACAGGTTGATTATGTAAAACAAACAGAAGCAATATTTTAGAGAAATTAGTATTTTTTTTTTCCAGAATAATAAGATTTGACTGAACTCAATATACAAATCAAGTTTCTTGAAATAAGAAACACGTAAAACTGAAATTTGAAGTGAGGGCTTCTGAAACAAGTTACCAGAAGTAGAATTTCATAGCCATAGTTTAAGCCTGAGCAGGGGAGAAAAAAAAAAAACCAACAAAAAAAATACCAAAAAACCCAACAACAAAAAAATCCATAAACCAGAGACCTTATCCATATTTCTAGTCTCAACAGTAGATAATAACGGTGCCAAGACAACTATTTCACTGAAATTTGTCCACTCCCCCATAAATACTAAAATACATGCACATACTTTTGTTTTTTTTCAAAGCGTGTATACATACACACACACTTTGTATATACACACATACAACACACATGTGCAATCAGCATGTCCAATTATGGAAAATGTTGGCTGCAGTGTCCCTTTCACTGCCAGGAAAAAAATGTCAGTTCTATCTGCTTTGAAAAAGCAGAACCACCCTTTCCAGATGAGCAATTTTTATCTTCAACTAATTAATTATAGAACCACATCTCTGGGCAGATCAACTCGGATCACCACCACCCTGTATAAAGTTAAAATTCTCTTTACAGAAAAACGTTTGTCATTCTACTACTATTTCTCCATATACAACAATATGGGTGGAATATTTTTCAAGTAAACAATAATAATCCCGGTGTTCAATGGTCTGCAGTCAAGTAGGAGGACACTTTTCTCCAGTTTGCTTTGCAAATTATTTTCACTCAAGTGAAAGTTTAAATAAGCATGCTTTCATTACAGCCTTAGCATAATTACCAAAGTTCCATCTCCATACTCTTCTTTTTTCAAACGTAAACTGTCCAGCTTATCCTGCAATGAATTGTTCTCTTGTGTAAGGAAAAAGATTTGTTCCTTTAGCACCTGAAGCTGATCACTTTCTCTACCGTTATTATTTTCTGATTTTTCCTCAGCAAGCTGGTCTCTCTCTGACGTGACGGTTTTTATTTCCTCTGTCATTTGTGATATCTACAAAAAATGTGCAAAGACAGTATTTCCATCAATTCAAAACCAAAATTAAATGCAAAAGTTTTGTTTGATTCACTCTGCTACAGTATTTTTAACATCTAACCACTGTAACCAAGCTAGAAAACCTCCAGGACCAAGTCTTTGGCCTTTGTCATCCGTTTTGTTTCCAATGCTAACCTTTTAGCAGTCTCTTCTGCAATACTGGCCAGATTTTTATCTGGAAAAAGTCTGAGAGGAAGAAGCCAAATAAGAAACACCTGTTGGATTATTTTTATGCATCTGCTCCAAAACATGCAAATGCTGAATGAACCACCATTGACTTACCGGGTCTGGCAGCTGACATACTTCAAGAAAAATCCAATCTCACATACTATGGGTTCTCCCTCCAGAGAAACTGTGCCACTGAAGCAACTGCATAACATACAATATTCTCAACACACTTCGCTATCAGTTGTTTGTTAAACAGGCCTAAAAAACAGTGGATCAGCCTGCTGCTGTACGTTGGGAACTGAGCTGTCATTTACAACCGTGTTACCCTTCTCATTGGGATCAAGTGTTATAAACCATTAGTCTCATTCCTACCCCTAAGTAACCCTTATCTCTTCGTCCATTTGTCATCTAATGCCACCACTCAAATTGACAACTATGGGGCACACTAGTTAAGCAAAGGTTTATTACAGCATACATTACAGCTTGAAGCTCTATAGAAACAGATCAGCAGCTGGTAAAAGACTTGGATTGGGCAGTACTACTTTCTTGCCCACTTTCTACCAAAGGCCTAGAAATTTTCTAAGGACAAGCAGAAGAGACTATAAGCAGACTAACTAGGCTTGTTTTCACAGTGTTGGAAAACACATTAAAAGCATTTTTAGTTTTAATTATTACATAAACATTTTACCCGTGTTTTGAGTTCTTTAATTGTTTTCCCTAGTGTCTCTTCAACACTCAGAATCTGAGATTCTTTTTCAGAAATATTTTTTTCCAAATTCTTGACAGTGTCCTGGGATTGCTTGAGAGAACTCTGTGTATTTCTCAGTTCTTCATGTGCCAAAATGTTCTTTAGAATGAAAGAAAGAAAATCCACAAAAGAAAGTTATTTTGCAACATTAGTAAGTACTCCTCTATTAAAAAAAACAAACAAACCACACACACACACACAAAACCCCACTCCCGCATACACTTCAGTATCGTTTATAAGTGTTCTTACACTCTTCCCCCTTAACATGTATGGTCCATTTCTATAAAGGCAGAATTCCTACCATTGAAACAGTGTCCTTTATATCCTCTTTGAGTTGGTCTGTCTCAGCTTGGAGAGACTCCTCTTTTTGCTTCAGGTAATCTCTTTCCTCGGTTAGAGTTTTTATTTCTTCCCGACATTCAGTAAGCTGCTGAAGAACTGCCTGGATCTCCGAATCCTTGGCCTCCAGTCTCAACTCCATAATCTTTTCTTGCTCTTTTAATTGCTCCATTTCATTTAACTTTTGCTGAGTCCGAATAAAATCTTCTCTTACCTCAAGAAGTTGTTTGTGCTCCTCTGTCTTTTCCTCCAGTTCTTTCATTTTGCTAGAGAGCTTTAGTTTGTAAAGGAAAAGGCCAGACACTTTCATTGTAACGCAAAACTGCATGAAGTGTACGTGTTCTCACAGAATCTTATATTAGCTTAGAAGGGGTGAGAGATGATAGCTTACAATAAGAGAATAGGAAGTTCATCATTTCACTTTAAGTCACTGCTTATATTATTGCCCACATTAAATAAGCATTTGTTTATGGAACCTTCCTGTGGTTTCTCCTTAGCAGCACAAGTCTTAGTAAAGCATAACACCACACATGAAACCGTAGCATAGCTTCAGGCTTCTCAAATTAGGAGTTCTCAAATCCATAGCTGGAATATGACAGCCAGATCAGTGCCAAAAGCCTTGTAAAACACACGCGTCTTCAGTTCCCTTTTCTTCTTAAATGTTTCTTTTTTTTTTTTCCTTTCTATTTGCCAATTTATGTGGTGATTCTCTTTGGTTTGAATGATGATCTGTTCTAAACAGACTCCAGTTCCCAATGAGGAAACTTTGTTTCTATGACTTTTATCTAAAGTCAGTCATAGCAGCATATTAAAAAAATATTTGTGTAATAAAAGTATAACTTAAGAATGGGAAAAGAAGAATTAAAAGGTCAAGTACAGAAGAAGAACATATGACCTGGAGCAACATATAAATTCCTTTGCCTATGAAGAAAGAGATCATTGAGCTGCATAATCCTTCAACCTTATACACCTGGCACAGAATAAGTAATATCCACTCATGCTAGAGGAATTTCAGTGATAGTATTATTTATACTTGAAGACCACTTCTCCAAAAGTGGGGTTTTTTTTAATACTATTAATAAATTCCTCATGTCTTATCTGTATAAAAAGGAACAAGCTGAAACTGACCTCTAATTTCACTTCATCCAAAGTTGTTTTAGACTCTTGTGCTTCTTTAGATAGAGTATCTATTTGGAGCTTCATTTGTTCATTGTTTTCTGATGCAGCTACATATTTTTGCTTTAGTTCTTCATGGAGCTGTTTAAGTGCTACATACTCCTGATCAGACTTTACATATTTAAGTTGTGCATCTGCTAGATCGTCTTTTGATTTTCCAATTTCTTCAGTCATATGTTTAAGTCTAATTTCATGATCAGCTACTTCAGAAAGCAGCTTTTCTCTTTCCAATTTTAATAAGCGTAGCTCCTCACATTTTTCAAGAATCTGCCAACAGAAAAGCATTAACAGCATTTTCTAAATCAGTATTTGTCATAGCTGCATAATAAAAAACCTGTTCATATGCAGATACAGGAAATAAAGTACATGCAAACACACAGCACAGTACATGTTCTGCTTTGTTGGGAGAGAGCTGTCTAGCAAACAATCCTTCAAAGAGCAGCAAGATGGACAAGGCCCTTCCAAAACCTTGAAACCTCTCCTCTAACTCTTTAGATGTTCTTTAAATATTTCCTTTTTCTGGTGTTTGAGCCAGGACTGGACTGATACTCCTAGCTGTAACTCCTAAACTGAATATTTAGATGTATCAATACTTTCTTCATGACACAGAGTTTACAAAGTTGTTAATATCCAATTGAAGTTTTGTTAAATAGTGGAAGTAGACCACTAGAAGAGTTTGGAACTTTTTGCAAAGCATTCATGAGTTTGCAAGATTACTTGCCCTGGATAATTTTCACTGCCACATACTTAGTAGCAGGTATTTAAGAATAAAGAAACCTAGAAAGTGTTCGCAAACAAACCCTTTAAGACACGTTCATATCAAACTTAGTCTACTAAGCCCTGGCCTGCCAGGAAACAGAAAAGTTTCCTTAAAAGTTTTCCAGAATTTGCAAGTTAAATCTCTCACTTCTCAGGCAGCGTTTCTGCTAAGAGGTCTTGAAATTTTCTCTTTGCCCAATTAGACAAAAATTCAGTTTTAGAACAGTAAACCAGGATCAAACACCATTATACATACAGTTATCAATGGTGACCATGGCAAATAGGTGGGCAAATGTTGGACTAGAAATTCCTGATTAATTATAGTAGACTTTGTGACTAAAACATGTGACCTTAAATTTATTCCTAAGTGCAAATATTAAATACCTGAGGAACAATTATTTAATCAATTTAGTTGTAAAATATCAGGTTATTTGATTCAACACAACTTTTGGCTTTAAAACTTCATATCCAATAGGCCTCCATTAGTACGCTACCAGTTGAGTACAATATGAAAACAAGGAAAGAGATTTTTATTTTTGTTTACCTCTTTCTGCTGTATCTCAACAGTATTTGGTAGAGACTGAAATTCTGACATCTCATCTACTTGTTTTTGTAGAAGTGCATTCTCTTTCAATGCTTTTTCTAGTTCTCCTTTTAAGTCAGCTGCCTTTTTTTCCAGCTCCACAAGAGAGAGCAGATCTAGAGAATTAACAAGTTTAGATTAATAAGAGAGTGTGAGAGAAGAAAAGCACGTTTTAAATTAAGCAGAAGATTTATAATGCATTCTGGATGTCATATAAGTATAATTCTAGAAAAGTATATTTTACAGGAGCCAACAATTAAAGATGAAACTACTGGTCTGAATTTGGTCATCACTTGTTAGGCTGACATCCAGTTCATTTTAGATTCTCCCCAACAGCCTTCATTAACTTTACTGTCTTTGTGCAAAATACAAAGCATTTTGCAAGTTGCAATCTTCCAACTAGTTCAAGAAAGTGCTAAAGCAGTTACTATGTGCCAGCCGTACCAAATACGCTACTATTTTATATCGACAGAAGCTCCCAGTATTTGAGAAAACAAGAGCCAAAGTCTTCCCTATCCGCCCCCACCATTACAGGGGAAAGGGAGAAGAGGGGGAGGGGAAAAAAGCAGCACCTGAAACAGTACCTTTTGGAACTTTACCCTCCATCAGCAAAGTTAGCCTTGTGTTTTCTTGAAATACAGACTGCAACTCTTTCTGCAAGTCAGCTTGCATTTTTTTGTAACTGGCTTTTCCAGCTTCTATTTGGTTTTGATAGAATTGTACATCCTTTTGCATTTGCTTGTAATTATTTAAGAGTTCATTCTTCAGGAAAACAAAACAACATGTTTTTCACACACAAAATAAAAGTCCACTTGCTTAACATTTAAATACTGCATCTGTCACATTTCCTGTTGTCACTCTGAACAACTTTGGCCTTGATAAATATGGCAGAATAAGCCACAATTTAACAATTGCATTTCTGTCAGAGTCCTATAACAAAATATACCTTACCTCACCTCAGAGGTCAGAGCCATAACTGCTTCTATTATTTTGCCTTTACTCCTTCAAAGCTCAAAGTAAGCTCCATCCCACTTCTCCGAGTTCACACCTCTTATTCTCTTTTGCTCTCTGGTAAAATTAGGTTTGGAGTCTGATGTCTTAGTAACTCCCTAAGGACTGTTCATTTGCTCTCTCTCTACTGGTAAACCTAAAACTAACCACCCACTCCTGTGGAAGAAGCCTCTATTTTCTTTTTATCTTTCTCCTGAAGACCCGTTTTCCATGAATTCCACAATAAAAACATTACTTGGAGCATGAGTCATTAGCTTTCTCCAAATGCTCTACCACATCTTGTCTTCATCAATTGCTTTCTTCGCTAGTCTGGGAGCAGATAGGCCCTTAACAGCATTTTGTACAGCTATAAAAGCAGTTTAACAAGTACTTGCCATCTTCTCCTTCAGTTCCAAATTTTCAGTTCGGAGAAAAGCAGATTCTTTTTTGGCATCCAAGGCTATGGTTTCACTATCTAAGAGGGATTTATTCAGCTGCTGAATTTCCTCAATTAGCTTCTCAGGATCTCCCTGAAAAAGACATAAATACTCAAGGAAATCCAAAAATACATAGCCACAATAAAGCAAGTGTGTTCATTATAATGTGGTTAAAATGTAGATACAGGCTCAGAAAACTTGGTCAGTTTACTGTTAAAGGAACAGTAGCGGGCCTGTTTGAGAGATGGGATAAAGAGCAGCATCTCCCATAGCTTTACCTCACCAGAGTACTGCTGTATGATAATGTAGTAATTAGCATTTTAAGCTTTGTAAGAAAAATTTTTCCTAAAGTCTGTAGGGA